CAGGTTACCCCCGGCGGGGGCGCGGTCATCGAGCAAAAACTACCACTTTTCCCCGAAATACTATCCTTTCCCCTGTGTCACAACAACAAATATCCTCTATTTCTTGTCCGGATTCGCTCTACAACTTGTGTTAACTTTCTAATTGAGTGCGTGAGATGCAAAATTTAATTCTCTACTCGATGGAACTATTTGAAAGTGATGTTATCCACCAAAAATGCGGAGCTGTGCCCCAAAGGGTGAGTGGGTGTGGATCTGAATGTAGATTTTTTTTTCACCCACACTCAATCAAATTATGTAAAACAAACATTACATGTTCCATATGAATCATTTGTACTTTCATTTATTATTGGAATTGTAATTTTGGAAAGGTTTTATACAATGAATCTATAAGATTTACGTTTAATACTATGAGTATTGTTCTTTGTTGAAAACTTAGTGCTTATATCATCAGCGATAATTACCATTGTACAAGTTACGATAAAAATCCATGAGTTGTGGAGTTGTACCGCTGCTGCTACAGAAAAGAGTTTTACAATTAAAGCTCCCACTGCTTGACCCCTCGGTTTCCATCTCTACCTGCGAAAAAACATTTGTCTCTTTTGAAGTAAGATTGTTTAACCTGAATTCGAGAAAGATTTGCAAAGACATAGTCTTCTGATGAGGCCGAGTCAATTATTGACTATTACGTATATCTTTGATTTATAATGTAGAACCATAGATTTTTGTAATAGGTAATCAAACATGAAAACAGATAATATCTGTACTAATGTGTTACGAAGTCGTAAAATTTTCTGTTTCTGGTTATCTTAAGATATAACATTTTTTTTCAATCAAGATGAAGTATTCTATGTTTAATTTCGGTTTTATGTTCAAAGACAAATTTAAATGAAGGAATATAGTAACACTAGAGAACAGCCGTAGAAGTTCAATTTTCATTGAATTTCAGTAAAGTAAAGAGATCTATGTTTTCGGGAGAAAAAATTTAAATAAGGTATGAAAGCAATGCATCAAGGTTCATATTCAAAACTAAGGTATTGAAGCATCTGTGGTGGAAACATTTAGCCTTATCTGGCACTGTATTTCATGTTGATTCGTTATATCTTCTTCAAGAATCGGAAATAACAAGAAAAAAGAAGCAATATTCTTAAACGAGCTCTGAGATAAACATTATCAATTTTTTGAAATTAAAATTCTTGTTTGTTCTCTTTCAATAAACAAATCATTCGTAATTTTAATTGAATTATTCTCAAAATACTTTTAAAAATCGACATTTATCCATGGATTTTTATTGTCTATTTCTGTTTAGCTATGACAATTACACTCACATCATCGAACACTGAATATTTAACAAAATGTGAAAAAGAAATAAATAATTATTTAAAAAGATCTATTTTTCAAATGACTTTAGATGGATTTGAAAATTGGAATCAATATATGATCAATGCTTTTTATAAATATTGTAAAAATCGATCTGTTTTACCTAAATTAGATAATCAACAACAAATTATTTTATATGGTCCTATAAATAATGTTTATGAAGTTAATCAAAAATATCAATTAACAAATGCATTAATTCAAGAAAAAACAAATTTATTATCAATATTTTCAAAAAATACATCATTTAATAATTTCAATATAATGTTAAGTTCTTCGTCAGATGATGCAACTATATCATATCGTTTAGCTAATCATCTTATCGATGAAGGTTTTTCTGTATCAATAAATTCAAATCAATCAACCGAATTCGATTATATATCAAAAGAAATAAATAAGTCTGTTTGTATTATTCTTTTTTTAAGTGAAAATTATTTTAAAGATGAATTATGTGAAAAAGAAGCAAAATATGCTAATGAAATAGAAAAATCTCTAATTCCTGTTAAAGTTCAAAATTATGAACCAATTGAATGGTTACAAAAATTAATTGAAAAAGAATCATGTTTTCAATTACTTGGTTCTGAAAGTCATTCTAAGTTAGAATATGATAAACTATTATTAAAAATTGTAAGTTTTTCAGAATATTTTTTAAATAACCAAAGTTGAGAAGATGCATCGCATTCAACTTAATTAATGAATGTTTCCAAGAAGAATAAAAAAAACAAGAGAAATTGTTACAAAACACTGCTTGATGAACTTCTTCACTTGATTGATTTAAAAAAATCAATGATACTGATTGAAAATACAAAAGATATTTGAAGATTGTCATCAAAATCACAATACTATTGGTACTGATATGTTCAAGAAGAAAAAAAAGAATCATAATGAAAATAGAAACAATCTAGAACAAGAAAAGAATAAAAAAACTTGTTCAAGTATTTTTTTCTTATCAGATAAAGTTTAAAAGTGTTCTCTTTGTAATCAACATTGATTTTATTTTCATCAATTAAATTTTCTTAATTGTTTAATGAGAGAAATGTTTATTAAATAAATAGAATAATAAAAATAACAAGACGATAAAAAAAAATCTGTAAATTACAATAAAATACAATTAAAATAAATTGCAAGAACATGATCGGCTTTTTTTTCCATTATATGTTAATAGTTTAATAATGTTCTTTAATCAAGGGGGAAACAGCTGACTCCAGTCCCTTGGAGTCAAGTGGAGTCAAGTGGAGTCAAGTGGAGTCAAGCGGAGTCAAGCGGAGGCAAGTGGAGTCAAGTGGAGTCAAGCGGAGTCAAGTGGAGTCAAGCGGAGTCAAGTGGAGTCAAGCGGAGTCAAGTGGAGTCAA